GTGCATGAGCGTGCATGACCCAGTGGGCCCTCTGCGCCAGTGGCGCAGAACAAGTTGAAACAGAACAAGGCTCTTGCTGTGAGATGGTAAGCGTATCGATGGGCACGCTGTCCGTGGACGTCTCATTGGTCGATCCTATCAAGCCGACGGGCCTTTATCTAGCTCCTCATGGTTTGCCTATACCGACGTGTCTCGACTCCGTCTTGCCTGTCTCAACAGGACTGTACCTGATTTCGTTCGTGCGCAAGCGACGAAAAAAAAGGCTTGAGCGGGGACGTCGGCTAGGTCGATGCAATCGAACCGATGTGCAGGATTGTTGGCCGTGAGCAAACGGGAAGCCGATGAGGCGCCAACGGAAGCCCGATGCAGACGTGAGGCCACATTCACTGAAAGCCTCTGTCGCCCCACCCCCCTCGCCCTATCCCGCCTGCATGGGGTGCTCGACGGGTGCTTGCACGCACCATCAGATGCGGCCCCGTGCGTCCCCAGCTACTGGTCCGGCAAGGGAGACTGGTGGGTCATCGGCCTGGGGCGGAGATTGGACTGGCCGCCAGTGGTCCGTTGGCCCCTCCCTGACGTCCTGTGATGCTCTTGCCGCCTCGCTGCCCGGCCCCTCCAGACTGGGGGCGTGACGCGGCGTCACCAGCGCTCCGCGTTGGGTCCAGCAGCTAGGGCAAGTGCACCCTGCTGGGTTTTTTCGGCGGAGGTTGAGTCCATACGGAGCAAGTCCACACGGAGTGTTCTGTCCTCGTCTGGGACTTACTCGTCTGGATTTCGCCTCTCCTGAGTTTTACCTTGAGCTTTCATCTCTGAGGAGGGAGCGGACGACCAAGAGGTGGAGGAGGCTGAGGAGGAGCCCTGGAGCCGACGGTACGGCTCAAAGACGCATATGCCCGACGGTTTGCACGGCGCCTGTGCCATTCGGCATCCTGCCCTGCCGTGGCCAGCCCTGCCCTCCACGCGCACGCGCACGCACGTGCGCAGGCGCTGCCTGCTCCTCGGTCCACGCTCGAGGTCCAGCGCGGGGTGATCTGGGGGAAGACGCGGATGAGGAGGAGGAGGGAGGAACGGAAAGGGGGGGTAGGGAGAGGAAGAGGAGGAAAGGATGTAGGAGTAGGTTGAGGATGAGGCGGAGGAGGAGGAGGAGGAGGAGGAGGAGGAGGAGGAGGAGGAGGAGGAGGATATGCAAATGGCAGGTATACTGATGTTTCCAGATCGACTGCTGACAAAACAAAACGGACTTCGCCATTCGAGCACAGTAAGGCGATGCATTTCCTGGTTAAATTCCTGGACGGCTCGGATCTTCTCTGACAGCGCTTTACCTGAGCAACCTGTTGGGGGAGGGGGGTCACCGTACTCCGCCTTGCGCTCAGACAAACCTCGCACCGCCAAGAAGACTGGAAACCTGGAGGTCGATTGCTTCTTTCTCCCCTCTGGACGGCCATGGATGCAGGCAGGCACCAGCTTTGGCAGCTGAGCCTGCGCTGTCATTTCCTGCCTTGCGAGAGCGCTTGAAGGCAACAGGCAGGTCGGGGCTGTCAGCACGACGGGCCTTCATCTTGTGCAGATAGCTGAGGTGCGGATTGGGGGTGACGCTCCAGCGGTTGAGGTGCCAAGCATGCTGAACATTGTTGTGGCATTCCGGGTGGTCCCCCGAAGGCCCACGTATACATTGGCAGGCGATTCTGAGGGAGATTTGCTCTTCTGCCCCGACACAGGGACTAAACACTTCCGCTCGGAAGCCATCGCAGAACTGCCGCAGCCCGCCCTGCTGAGCACCCGACCGCGTGCTTGAAAGCAGACTCTTCGAAACAAACACGTGCCCAGCTAGCCTGTCAGACTCCGCAGGAGGCCTTGCTCGCACCGCCACTGTATACCATGCCCTTCGTGAACAAAGCCATTTCCTAGGCTGAGCTCTGGTCGGCAGAAGCGCCATCCGCGTGAATCTGCTGGAGACCAGCTCGGACCTCGACTGGGTGACGGCTGGGCACTGCCGTACACCGAAGATAATTCTTCACAACATCAATTTCCATGGACTCCAGATTTTGCTTAATAGCATCAAGAGTCTGGACTGGCCCCTGGGCGTTTTCTTGGAGCTTCTTCTGTGCCGTAGAGTGTTGATGCATCTGGACCAGGACTACCGTTCAAGAACACGCCGGGTGCGAAGTCCATTCTCTGAGCATACCTGTGCTCAACTCTAGGCAGGGGTGTAGTCTGCGGAACATGCCGTCTTGCTCACCGCACGAGGCGCACGCCGGCGATGCTTCGCACCTCGCCGACGCCGAGGTTGGGAAAACGACCCTGCCTGCGGTCCGGCGAGCTCGGAGAGAGGAGGCTGCGCAGCTCGTGCCCGACGCTGGCACACCATGGCCGCTTTTTTTGTTTTCCGTGGCAGTCTTCTCATGTACCGCCGGCCTCTCCGTGAGTACCCGGCTAGTGCAGTCGGGGCGCTGAAGGAGGAACCCTTTTCGTTGGGGAGGGGCTCGGTGTTCCTTGATTGTTTCACAGCTTGCCTCAGGTTTTCCTTGCGTTTTCGATGGGAAATCGAACTTTAACGTATGAGAAAAAGGGAATCAACGCCCCGACTGTAGTCGCGTTGCCGTGCGGTAGGGATTCAATTGAGCTGTCACACTTTCAGGATTCGCCCCCCAAGCAAAAAAAAACATGGCCGCCTTATCGACAGAAGCGGTGCATTTACGCAGTGTGCAGTCAAGCGACACAGAGCGACCGCACCGTTCTTAGCGCGCTTGGTCACTGTGCTGGGCGTGCCGACGAGAGTCTGGCCGTCTTCGTCGGCGTCAGTATCGAGGCTGAGGGGTCGTTGCAACGCACGTTGGTCCATCGAGGGAGCGTTGAGAACCCGCGCGAAACTTGCATAGCTAAAGAGCAACTGGCCACCATCCAGTACTCCACAGCATGCGGTCTTTGCAGCAAAACTGCCATGCAGGAGAGTTCTGGATTATGGTGCGCCAGAATGCAGTTATGCGCAACATGCCTTGGGAAGTTGGGCTGTTCGCAACGGACCTCCAACTCGGACGAGCTGATAGGGTTTTGGAATTGGTCGAGGTCCCGCAGTAACGTGCATGCGACATCCCCTTTACGAGCCCCCATTTCACTCCCGACAGCTTGTCTCCACACGACGTCTGATGCATACTCGAATCCGCCTTCAGTCAGTAACGCATGAGCATGAGCCTCTTCCCATTCAGGTAGAAAGGGGCGCAAGGCGCCCCCCAAAGCCTGAAGGCAGACACGAAAAGGCCGACGGGCCTGACGCCTTCACTTGACGTTCTGGATCATTGCGCGTAGCATGACCCGAAGTCGGCCAAGCAGCATCGACGTAGACTCCACGAGCTAGGGAAGGGTTGTGAGCAAAGGCGATGCCTGCCCTGGCAAAGAGAGAGCAGCAGTGGCGCACGTGGGAAGCTGCCGATGTTGGGCAGCTCCGTATTGGCTGCACGGGCCAGGCACGCTGTGGCCGAGCCAGCGGGCGATGTGTGCCACTCGTCCCCCTCCTCGCCCCGCACCCCTCGCCCTCGCCAGGCAGCGCAGGCCGCTGGGAGCTGACGCTGACGGGCCGATTTTCCACCACCGCCACCATGGGCAGGAGGGGGAAGAGGAGGAGGAGAGGGGGAGAAGGAGGAGAAGGTGGAGACGGAAAGGGGGGAGAGGAAGGAGGAGGCGGGGGAGAAGGAGGAGGAGGAGGGAGGGAGGAGGAGGAGGTGGAGGAGGAGGGAGGAGGAGGAGGAGGAGAGGAGGAGAGAGGGGAGGAGGAGGAGGAGGAGGAGGAGGAGGAGGGAGGAGGAGGAGGAGGAGGAGGAGGGAGGAGGAGGAGGAGGAGGGGGAGGAGGAGGAGGGAGGAGGGGAGGAGGAGGAGGAGGAGGAGGAGGAGGAGAGGAGGAGGGGGAGGAGGGAGGAGGAGGAGGAGGAGGGAGGAGGAGGAGAAGGAGGAGGAGGAGGAGGAGAACCTCCCCCTCTTCCCCTCTCCCCCGTGCTGCCTGTGGTGGTGGCGGTGGTGGAACATCGGCCCCACCAGGCGCTGCCCCCGGCCAGGAGCCCAGGCTATAGCCTCCCCTGGACGGGCCCGCGCGGTGGTGCGGGCGGTTTCGCCACGGGCGTCGCCTGCCTGCCTGCCGGGTGCCGTGCCGGGTGCGCGTGCCGTGCCGGGTGCCGCGGGTCGCGGCCAGGGGAGGGGGGAGGAGGGGAGGGGGGAGGGGAGGGGGAGGGGGGAGGGGAAGAAGGAGGAGGAGGAGGAGGAGGAGGAGGAGGAGGAGGAGGAGGAGGAGGAGGAGGGGGAGGGGGAGGGGGGGTGGGGGGGAGGGGAGGGGGGAGGAGAGGGGGGAGGGGGGATGGTAAGGTTGTTTCTTTCTCCTCTGGCGCGTGACGGCCGTGAGCCCACCTGGGCCCAAGCCTTCCCCCCCTGGGTAACGGCAGCGATCGCACGTCGGGGGGGAGGGCTTGGTTCCCCCCCCCGCGCATGCTGGTGCTTGCGCGCGTACTGTGGCGATCGCAGCGCACATCCGCCCCCACGTGCCACTCCCCGCCCGAGCGTTACCCTTATACGACCCCACCCCGGCTCCTCCCTTCCTCCTCCCCCTCCTCCTCCACCCTTCCTCTCTCCTCCCGCTCCTACTTCCTCCTCCCCTCCTCCCCCTCGTCCTCCCCCATCCACCCCCTCCTCTTCCCCTCCCCCTCTTCCTCCCCCTCCTCCTCCCCCTCCTCCTTTACGACCGATACCGGAAATGATACAACACAAACATACAACTTTTGGGGGGAGGGGGCAGGGCAGGATGGGACGAGTGTCAGAGGAGGAAAGGGCACCCATACCTCTACCCTCCCCTCGTTTTTCCCTTTTTGGGCCTCCTGGGCCTCCGTCGTCGCCACAGCTGGATTCGCCTCGACGTCCTGGTCAGAACGCACCCCGGTAGAGGTCTGGGGAGAAGCGGCATCGGTATCGTTTGGTGTCCCCAGAGCGCGCATCCTGATGCGATGCCTCTGCGCAGGTCGGGAACCAAACCCTCTCGGGCATCATCGACACGGGCTCCTTCGAGCTGGTCGTGTTCTCCACCGCGTGCGAGACGTGCGGCCAGGCGGCCCGCGTAGCCACCTTCGCCCTCGCACCCCTCCCGAGGGGAGGGCGGGGAGGGGAGACGACGGGGTGGGAGGGGAGGGAAGAGTAAACATCGAAGGGAGGGAAGAAGCGAGGGAGGGAAGATGGATGGATGGGGGAGGGGGGAAAAGGCAAGGAGGGAAGGATGGATGAGGATCACGACATGCTGACCACGACGGTATTCGGCTGACGGCGATGTTGCTGCTGCTGGTGATACGACGATGGTGACGATGCCAATGACGATATCGACGACGGCGATGACAATGATGGTTATGGCAACCATTGCGATGATGACAATGTCGATGACCATGGCGCTGATGCTGTTGATGGTGCTGGTAGTGTTGAGGGTACTAGCATGATGATGATGATGGCGATGATATTGATGGTAACGTTGACGGTGCTGACGATGCTGGTTCTGCTGGTTTTGATTTCCAGATCTGAGCAATCGAGGGGTCGTCCTCTTGCTCTCCATTTTCGGGAGCAGCCCAGAGCCCAAAGTACTTTGACCTCCTTCCCTCTCCATGTTTGACAGAGCGTTTTTCGCGGGCTGGGGATGGGGGTTTGAACCCCCTCCCCCCTCCCCCTCCCCTGTGTGCATGGGTGGGGTAGGAGACCGTTGGACCTACATTTCCCGTGCAGGGGCCAGTTCCCCGCCTCTCGCGCTTGATGAGGGACAATCCCCCATCGCGCTAGCAAGCGACGACCGACGACCGACGACCGACGACCGACGACGACGACGACGACGACGACGACGACGACGACGACGACGACGACGACGACGACGACGACGTGACGGCGACTTCAACAACAACGACGACGACGACAACAGCGACGACAACGAAGTCCATGGCGATTGATTGCATTACTGTTTCGCCCGTCCAGCCCGCCCGTCACGGCCTGCCCGCCCGACCCGCTCATCAGGGTCCGCCCGCCCGACTCGCCCGTTAGGGGCCGCCCACCCAACCTGCCCGTGAGGGACCGACCACTCGCCTGCCGGAAAGCCCGCCAGCCCGACCCGCCAGCTCGCTCCCAGCACAGTCCTCCCGCCCCCTGTCATGTTCCGCCAGTGGCTCGAGTCGCCCTGGCCCGGACAGGCAGCATCCGCACGCCTTTGGGTCGACGGCTCCCGTCGTGACCTGTAGGGGGCCACATGCGAACCCTACCCCTACCCCCGACGATTTTTCTGAGGGGGAGGGTGGGGGTAGGGTTCGCATGTGGCCCCCTGACCTGCCTCCCTCCCTCCCTCCTCTCCCTCCCGCGCCGATGCTCGGCATCTGCGCGCGCTCCGCCCGGCCGGGCGGCCGTGCGCGGCGCGCTGCCGGCGCCGCCGCGGCCGCCGCCGCGCGGCGGCACCAGGGGGGCCGCGGCGCCGGCGCCGACGCGACCGAGGGCCGCAGGGGCTACGGCGCTGGGGCGCTCGCCGCCGCCGGCGCGGCGGGCGCCGCGCTCGGGGCGCTGGCCGCGTCGGAAGACGGCCGCCTGCGGAGGATGGAGCTGCCGCAGTCGTCCTTCCGCATGTGCTGCGACGCGCCGCTCACCGACGCGCACCGGCGGCTGCCGGCGGAGCTCGAGGACCCCAGGCCTCCCAGGTACGGTCCGAGTAGATGGTGTCGGAGGATCGCGGCGCATCGCCGAGGCATTGGCGATGCTGCTCGCTGCTCGTGTGGAGCCCGACGCCGACGGCCGCCGACGTCGCCGATGCACTGATCGGACCGTGTCTGGGAGGCCTCTGAGGACATCGTCGGCCCGAAGCACGTGCAGCGCGATGTGGCGATGAAGGGCTCGATGGGCGGCAGGGGCTTCGCTGCGGCGGCCGTGTCTCCGGGCACGCTGGACGAGGCGGTCCGCGTGCTGCGCGCCTGCGTCGCAGCGGACGTGGCCGTGCTGCCGCAGGGCGCCAACACGGGCCTCACCGGCGGCTCGGTGCCGCGGGAGGCGGAGTGCGACCGCCCCACGGTGGTGATCAACATGCGGAGGCTCAGTATCCTTCAACTTATCCTCATCGCCACCGGGCCACTGTACCTGAGCCCCGCCATCCCACCACCCCAGCTGGGGATTAGGCGCCTCGAAGCCCGAAGGGAACAGCCTGTATCCCCATCTGGGGGGGTTCATCGGCCAGTGGTGCCCAGGCCACGCCAGGGGGGGACAGGGGTCGGTTCAACGATGCTCACAGGCTTAGGAAGATCATGCCCCTGGGTTCCGAGGCCCGGCAGGTCCTCTGCTTCGCTGGAGCGGGCATCTTCGACCTCCAGGAGCAGCTGCGGCGGCACGGCCGCGACTCGCACTCGGTGCTGGGGTCCATCTTCCTCAACCCTTCCGTGGGCGCGGGGGTGTCCTTCGGGAGCGGCGGCACCCAGATCAGGAAGGGCCCGGTCTACACGGAGAGGGCCCTGTATTGCCGCGTCGACGCGGCCGGCCGGGTGGAGCTGGTCAACAGTCTCGGGCTCCGCGACGGCGGCGACGCCGTCGCTCTGCTGGACACGCGCGAGGAGCTGGGCTCCGAGGACGCTGACCCGCGGTGCGCGCTCGCGGCCTCGTTTCCCAGATACGCCGAGCGCATCACCACCTTCGACTCCGGCGTCTCGCGGTTCAACGCCGACACGACCGGGCCCGATTGCAACCGCTCCGAGGGCAAGGTGTTGATCCTCGCGACCATCCACGACACTCACCCGCTGCCGGAGCAGACCAAGATGGTCTGGGTGGGCTGCAGGGACTTCGCCACTGCCAGCGCGCTGAAGCGGCAGGTGTGCCTGAGCTCCCCGCAGCGCATGGCCAAGACCTGCGAGTACATCGAGCGGCGGCAGTTCGACATGATCGACCAGGCTGGGGGGCCAGATGCGAACCCTACCCCTACCCCCCACGATTTCTGAGGGGGAGGGTGGGATTCACTTCGTTCGGGAGCTCCCGAGCGGAGTGAACCCCACCCTCCCCCTCAGAAATCGTGGGGGGTGGGGGTAGGGTTCGCATCTGGCCCCCTACAGGCTGGGCGGGTGCTGATCAAGACGATCGAGGTCGCCGGCATGTCCAGGCTCAGCTTCCTCTGGGGCCTGAAGCTCAGGGTCGAGAGCCTGCCCCTGCCCTTCGCGGGGGTCATCTGCGACAAGGCGATGTGGTGGCTCAACGACTTGCTGCCCCCCTCGCTCCCCAAGCCGCTCCTGGACATAGGCCGGGAAATGGACCACATAATGCTGATGGAGTTCTCCGAGTACACTGCCGGCGAGGTGGCCCATCTCGAGGGGCTGCTCCAGAAGTTCGTGGCGAGCCAGCCTGAGGGCAGCGTCCGGTACCACGTCTGCCAGGACGCCCACGAGGCGTTCCGGGCGATGCTGTTCCGCTTCGCCGTGCAGCCGTCTCACCGCACATACTGCGTGGGCAAGGGCCTGCAGGGGTTGATCATCGACTACGCGGCGCCGAAGGACTTGGAACGGCGTGGAAGAGGGGGGTGAGGACTGCGGGGGCGGATCTTGTGGGCCTCATGGCCATGGCAATGCTACCTCCCCGATTTCATGCCCCCCGCTGCTAATTCATCACGTCCCTTGGCCCCTCGGCGCACATTCCACGGACAAGCATGCGTTAACCCTCGAAGAACAACACACTGCATGAACATCGTTTCCCGGATGCCCGCGCGGATTTCTGGGATCGGCGCTTGGCCACCATGGCGGTGCCTCTGGAGCTGCCCCGTGCGCGCTCCGCGCGCCAGGGAGGGGTCCAGCGCGTCCAGCGCCGATCCAAGAAATCTGCGCGGACCTCCGAGAATCTATGTGTAAGCACTCTTGTGTTTCTCGAAGCCCCCCTCTTCCTGGCTCCCATCTTCGGCGCACCCGAAGGACGCCGAAGGCGTCGTGCCCCTGGAGGGCACGGAGTTCCCCATCAAGCTCCGCGGCCTCTGCGCCCACTTCGGCGACAACGTCTACCACGAGGCCTCCCATAAAAGAGAGACCCTTTGCCGGTGTGGCCCTTGTTGCGCGGCCTACATAGGGGGACGACGTTTGCGTATGAGGACGGAGTAGAGGGACGGTTGGAGGGATGGAGGGAGGAGGAGAAGGAGGAGGAGGAGAAGGAGGAGGAGGAGAAGGAGGAGGGAGGAGGATGGAGGGAGGGAGGGGAGGGAGGGAGGGAGGGAGGGAGGGAGGAGGAGGAGGAGGAGCAGGAGAAGGAGGAGGAGGAGCAGGAGGAGGTTGGAGGGAGGGAGGGAGGGAGGAGGAGGGATGGGGGGAGGAGGGAGGGAGGGAGGAGTGATGAGGGGTGGGGGTGGGGGTGGGGGACGAACCCAGGCACGCTGGCCGCTGCTGTCGCACGGCACGCACGGATCGGCAGGCTGCGTACGAGAGCTGCCGTTTAGCCCGGGGCTCACCCCTCCGATGCTGCATTTTTCTGATGGCGGGGCCCCCTGGGGATCTCGGCCTCTTCCGCAGGGGCCAGCTTTTCATCCTGGGCCTTCTCTTGACGGTCTGGAGGCCTGGGAATGTGCTACGGACGACGAACAGAAAACAAAACAAGCAAGAGATGCTGGGACCAGCTGCTCATCCCGAATCGTTTTCTGACGGTTCCTGGGCCCATGAGCTGGCCTCTGGAGGCCGAGGGTACAAAGAGAAAGCGGCCGCCGCGATTTCTTCGAGGGCGGCGCCAGAATCTGGTGGAGGGTTAGCCCCAGTCATTTGACGATGTTTTTGTGGTTTTGTTATGAAGGCGTGGCCCTAGTCGAGGTCCCGACATTAGATGCGAAGCGAGGCTGTGGCTTTCCTCCCACCTGTGTCCCACCCGTGTTCTTCCCCTCCTTCTCTTCCCTTCTCCCTCCTGCCCGCACGCGCGCCGGACACGCGTGCACATACGCGCTCAGACGCGCCCGCATACGGACCTGGGCGCATTGACTCACTCGATGCACGCGCAGGCAGCACACACCATGCACGGCGCCCACACTTTTTTTTCGTCGGCGGCGAGGCAGAAGCGCTGCTCCAGCGGGCTGGCGATCAGGGCGACCGATTCGCTAAGTGGCGGTCGTGCAAGAGGGGTGAACTACAGCACACACGCATACACGCAACATATGTGTGTACAGACGCACGCAGGCATACACAGACGCGCGCACGCACGTATTCACCACACAAGGACGCACACTTGCACTCATCGCAAAGACGAGCACAGACATACTGACGCACGCACACACACACGTACACACCACAAAAAGGCGCACACTTGCACACATCACGAAAGCGAGCACAGACATGCAGCACACACACAACACGTTGCACACACACAACGCACACCTTTCGGCCGCACGCAGCCGGGGCGGAAGCCGCTCCAGCGCTCCAGGTAGTCCATGTCGGGCAAAGCGACGTTGCCAAGGGTCGACTCTGGGAAGCGGGCAAGTGTTAAGTCGGGCATGTCCATCTACTGGAGGAGCATTCAAACATAGAACATGGTCAGGGGGCGATGCTCGATGATTTTTTAAGACCATTTTTGACCATTTGTCATTTTCCTCCAAAATCCGCCTGTAGGAGGACATGCCCGACCTAAGGCAAGTGGTGCTAATCCCAGCGCCCGCAAGGGGCACCACAATGGACGCGGACAGCTGGCAGCATGGCCAGCAGGGCAGGGGCCGCAAACCGACTGGCCTGACAGGACACGAGTTCGGACGGCACGGGGCCAGCGAGACAAGGGTCGGGGGGCAAGGATCGGGGGGATAGGCATACAGTCGGGGCGCTGGAGAAGGAACCCTTTTCGTTGGGGAGGGGCTCCGTGTTCCTTGATTGTTTCACAGCTTGCCCTAGGTTTTCCTCAGGTTTTCGATGGGAAATCGAACCTTCACTGATGGGAAAAAGGGGCCCCGTTCCTTATTTAGGGTTCCTTGGGTCAACGTCCCGACTGTAGGGGGGGTGCATCGACCCCCCATCGCCCATGGATCGCCGACAGTGGCCCGATAGCCCCAACCTGCCCAGGACGGTGCGGATTCACGATCCGGGGCACATCGCTGGATCTGGCGGCGACGTATCGCCGATTCCGTGTCGATGTATTTTCCCCGCCTGTGCCAGTCCCCCCATTATCTCGGGGGTGGACAGACCTCCTACCCTGACACGTTGATTAGTGAATTGGCCGTTTTCGGTTCGCGAGAGGGCGTCGCGGCCGTCATTTTTGCGGGTCCAGGCCCGTCGGTTTCGGTCCCAGGCCGTTTTCACCAAGGGGAGGTTTACTAAAGGGAGGTTTGTCCACCGCCGACTATCGTTGCCCCTCAGAGGGCAGGGAGGGCCAAGCAACGGGCGAGGAGAGCAAGCGAGGAGCCAGGAGCGCCCCCGCCGAGGCAGGGGGGGCGAGGGCGGCGGACGGGGCCCGAGTTCGGGCGGCTCGGGGCCGGCACGACGAGGGCAGGGAGGGCCAGGCGGAGGGCGAGGAGAGAGCGCGAGAAGCCGGGAGCGCCCGCCGAGGCAGGGGGGGGAGGGGGAGGCGGGCGGGGCACGAGGCGCGGCGGGCCGACAAGGCGGGGGAGGGGAAGCCAGGGGGAGAGGGCCAGGCACAGCACCACGAGGGCCAGAGAGGGCACGGGGAGGGAGGGGAGGGGGGAGGAGGAGGATCCTGTGGCTCCAGAAGGGGGCCCCCAGGGAAGGGGACCTGTGAGACGGGCGGTGCCGATTTCTCCAGCCCGCTCGGCTTCGCCCACAAGGTCGCCGCACGACGCTTTCACCACTCGCACGCCTCGAAGTCTCAAATGCAACGCCGCGGTCTCAGAAGTCCCTTTCGCTGGCGTCTCTTTAGTAACCGCGTCAGAGGAGGAGGACACAAGGAGCCGAGGACGAGGAGACGGGGAAGGAGAGCAATGATACACACGCATGCAAGCGGGGAAGAGGGAGGGAGCGCTCGGACAGCGACTCGCCAAGAGCGCGCGGGGACCAGTGCAAAGGATCAAGACCATGTGTACGAGAGACACAAGCTAAATCACATGCTTGCCAGCGTGGACCCCAGATCGTGTTTTCTTGCAGTCTATGCGGTGCAATAGAGGTGGTGCAATCAATATGGTGCAATCTAGGTGGTGGAATCCTTGTGATGCAACCTCTGTGGTGAAAACATGGCAGGGCAATGTAGAGCCATGCGCAGCAATGCAAAGCAAAGCAACGCAAAGCAATGCAACGCAATGCAAAGCAATACAATGCATAGCAATGCAAAGCAATGCAAACCAATGCAACGCAATGCAAACCAACACAACGCTAAGCACACCACTGCACACCACTGTGACTGAATGCAAAGCAATGTAAAACAAAGCGATGCACATCAATTCAACGCAATGCAACTCAATGCAACGCAATGCACCTCAATTCAATGCAATGCATCGCAACGCAACGCTATGCAGCTCAATGCAACGCAATGTAGAGCACTGCAGACCAGTGTAAAGCATGGCAGCGCGATGCAACGCAGTGCAACACAATGCAAAGCAAGGCTAAGCAATGAGAAGCAATGCAAAGCAATGCAAACCAGTGCCGAGTAGTGCAGAACAAGTCAAATCAGTGCAACGCAGTGCAAACAAAGTCAAATCAGTGCAACACAGTGCAAACCAAGGTACAGTAACGCAGCGCCATGCGAACCAATCCGATGCCGTGCATTGCAATGCGATGCGACGCAATGCAAACTCGATGCGATTGCGCTGCAGTGCAGTTGCCGTGTAACGCGATGGCAATCCAACGGGCACGGGGTGCAGCGGGGCGGCGGCGACGGGCTGGAGCGGGGCCGCTGGAGCCGCACCCGGGGGCTCTCGCGGGAGACGTGGTGCGTTGACGGGCGTGAGCGGGGCCGCCGGGACCGCAGCCGGGCCCAGTTCCTCAGAAGAGACGCAGGACCCCCCTGAGTGCAAGCACCGTCCGGGGAACAGGACGCAGACCACACGCAACACGCAGTCCACAGCACACAGAACACAACGCACGGCACACGCCACACGACCCACACGACGCCACAACGCACAGCACACCACACAACCCGCAACGCGCACCCCACAGCACACACACACACACACACCACACACACACCACACACACCACAAACACACACACACACCCCACACACAGCACACAACACAACCCACACAATGTACAGACCTAAGGCATTCCAGGCGTGGCATCTCCTCGGCACCAGGGGGGGTGCGCAGGGGGTGGTCCCCCGATCCGTGTCTGGCCCCCCGGGCGTGGCCGGCATGGCAGGGGGGGGGGAGGTGTACGGGGAGGAGGGAGGAGGGAGGGAGGGAGGAAGAGTGGAGTGGAGTGGAGCCCGTTGCGCAAAGCAAGTTGGGGGGGAGGAAGAGGAGTGGGGAGGGAGGAGGGAGGGGAGGAAGAGGAGGCGGAGGCGGCCGCGAGGCGCTGGCGTTTGCCCTGGACGTGGACGTCCAGGCCGCCAAGAAGGCCATCAAGGCCGCCATCGAGGCGGCGGGCGGACGCCTGCCCGCCGAGCACGGGCACGGCACCGAGTACGCTGCGCCGGCGGATACGCAGACGCGGTGGATGGCGATGGACCTGGTCGGGGGCAACGTTCCCAGAACCCCCGATCGAAAGGACTGTCAAGCTTGCTCGGATGCTGATGTGTTTTGTGTGCCAAGCGCAGGTAGCTTTCGCCCTCCAGGGGCTCTTCAGCCGAAATGGCACTGCACAGAAGCATCGGATGAAAGGTCGCTCGGATGAAAGGTCAGGGGCAACGTTCCCAGACCCCTGGGTCGAGTCCCCTGGGGGTCGACGGCATGGAAAAAGTCAGAACGTCGGGAGCCTGGGCGGTGGGGATAGGCTCAGAGGGGGTGAACGTTGGGGGCACCGTTGGGGGGGGATAGGCTCAGGGTCGGGGGGGGGCCAGAGGGGGGTGATGACTGGGGGGGATGTCATGACGGGGGCCATGATGGCTCCTCAGATTTCATGGCGCCTCGTCTTGTTTCGATGCGTCCCCGGCCGCCCCCTGGGCCGCGCACATGCCGGCGGCCATGATTTGCGCCCCGCCCCCCTCCAGGACGCCCCCCTCTTGGCCGCCCCCGAGTTGGGGGTGCGACAGGCTCAGGGGGGAACGTTTCGGGCTTGGGGTTGCAGGTTTTCGGGCGCTTCTGGCAGTTCTCGGACGTTTTCCAGCTGCGCCTCGCCGAGGGGCGTCCAGGGGTGCCCCGCTCCCGCCCGAGCGGCCGCCGGAGAACTGCGCTGTGACCCGAAAAACCACGGGGCAAGCGTCGGGGGGGATACGTCGGCCAAGGGAGGGTCGCATGGACCCCCAATCGCGCACGCATCGCCGCTTTGCGTCGCTCGGACGTGTGCAGTTTTCCCTGGCGGGGACCATCGATGAGCACTTTGGGCCCTCGTGCGGCTGCGTGTGGCATTTTACTTCGCATAGGTCGCGCGCTCTGGTGCTGACAACCGCCGGCGCTGGCAACTGCCGTGAGACGTCATTCATCGTAGGAATTATTCGGGAGTGCGTGGTTTATATAAAAAGAAACTTTGGGCCCTCGTGCGAACAAAAGCACGCACGACACCGAACAGTGCACGGGGAATGGACGTCCGAGCGGTGGCAGGGCCGGCGGGGACCGGATGGCCCCCGCCCCCCCAGGACCGCAGGGATCCGCTCTCGGGGGCCCGAGGCCGATCTGATCGGCAAGGTATCGGCGGTTCCGCGCTGGTGTTTCTCCCTTGAGCCGGTGCCCCCCAGCGGTTCCCTTCAAAAGGGAGGGACGGGAGGGGAGGAGCGCGCCGATCATATGTTTTGAATCTATCATGTTTATTTTCTAAGGATACAGTCCACACACATCATTGATTTTTACATTTTAATAACACATAACCCGGCCCCGGATCTTCCGACGATATGTTTTGTTGTTGTTGTTGTTTTTTTTGTTTGTTTCATTCATTGTTGTTGATTGACCCGTGACCTTGTTGCCTGGGCCCCCCCCGCAGCAACCAGCAACCAGCAACCGAAGGTTCATTTCAGCACACCCCTCTCGAGGATCGTGGCCTTGGCCTCACAGGGAACTCCACCGAAGGTTCATTTCGGCCCACCCCTTTCAGATTCTATAGGATACTAGAGGATCGTATAGGATTCCCGATCGGATCCTGTAGGTATCGTGTTGGATGCTATAGGGATGCCATAGGATCCTATAGGGATCGTGTAGGATTCTATAGGGATGCCAGAAGGATCCTATAGGGATCCTGTACGGTCTTATAAGGATCCTATTGAAATCGTACAGAATCCTAAAACCGTCCTTTCAGAGCCTACATGATCCTAAAGGATCCCTATCGGCTTCTACACGATTCTTATACAATCCCTATACGATTTCCGCAGCATCCGATAGCATCGCATGGGATTCCTATACAATCCCTGTTATGATTTCCATCGGATCCTATAGGATCGCATGGGATTCTTATACGATCCCTATATGATTCCCATCGGATTGTATACGATTCCTATAGGATCCCATAAAACCGTATGGAAATATTATACAAGTCATTTACGATTCCTATAGGACCCTATACAATCCCTAGAGGGTTCTATAGGATCGCATGGGATTCCTACACCGTCCCTATAGGATCGCATGGGACTTCCATAAGATCCTATAGGATCGCATGGGATTCCCATACGATCCCTATACGATTCATAAAGGACTGTCTACGATTCCTGGAGGACCCTATAGGATCGCATGGGATTCCTATACAACCCCTACATGATTCCTATAGGATCGCATGGGATTCTTATACAATCCTTATAGGACCCCTTGGTATTCTTATACAATCCCCATCGGATTTGTATAGGAGCCTATAGGATCGCATGGGATTCCTATGCAATCCCCATCGGATGCCTTTAGGATCCTGTAGGATCGCATGGGATTCCGATACAATCCCCATACGATTCCTATAGGAGCCGACAGGGTCGCATGGGATACCTATACAATCCTTGTGCGATTCCTGTATGATCCTACAGGGTCGCATGTGATTCCGGTACAGTCCCCATACGATTCCTATAGGATCCTGTAAGATCGCATGGGATTCCTGTACAATCCTTACACGATTCCTCTAGGATCCTACAGGGTCGCATGGAATTTTCATAGAGTCCCCAAAGGATCCCATAGGATCCCCATAAGATTTCATAGGATCGCATAGGATCCCTACAGGATCCTCATGGATCCCAATAAGATTCCTATAGGATCCTATAGGATCGCATGGGCTTCCTACACAATCCGTATAGGTCCCTCTATGAGCCTATAGGATCGCATGGGGGTCTCTATAGAATCCCCATAGGATTCCTACAGGATCCTGTCGGATCGCACGGGGTTCTTATACAACCCCTACAGGGTTCCGATCGGATCCATCTAGGATCGCATGGGATTCCTATGCAGTCCTTATAGGACCCTTATAGGATCTTGTAGGATCGCATGGGATTCCCATACAATCCCCATACGATTTCTATAGGATCCTATAGAGTCGCATGGGATTCCCAAACAATCCCCATACGATTCTTATAGGATCCGACAGGGTCGCATGGGATTCCTAAAGACGATGATTCCTCTAGGAGCCTACAGGATCGCATGGAATCCCTATAGAATCCCTATAGGACCCGTAAAGGATCCGATAGGATCACATAGGATCCCCATAGGATCCTCATATGATAGCTCTAGGATGCCTATAGGGTTCTATAAGATCATATCGGGGCCGATGCATTCCGGAGCTTCGCTGGTGCAGACATGGAAACATTGCATGAAGGAGGAGTTCACACCCTTAAGCAAGCGAAGTTACAGCGGAGCGAGGAATGGGATCCGAGGTTGTTGGTTGCTGGTTGCGGGGGGGGGGGTGCTTACCCCCGGGAAGCAAGGTCACGGGTTGTCCTTGAAGGACAATCAGTGACCAAGTTTCCCGGTGAACGGGCAACAAGGTCACCTGTCAACCTTGTTGTTGTTGTTGTTGTTGTTGTTGTTGTTGTTGAACTCTCATTCTTGAAGAATAATTATTGTTGATCCCCCCCCACCGGTGCACATTGATTTTTTTCGATTGAAGTGCCACCCCCGGGGCTCGCACCTTGTTTTTTCACAAGGAAAGTCTTCCTGCTCAAACTGTGCCCCTGCCCCCCGGGCTACAACAACAACGGCTCCCGCTTGAGACCGCCTGAGACTTCCGCGCAATTTACTCAGGAAAGGCGCTCCCGTCCGAGACTTCCTCGCAATGTAATCAAGACCCCCGCTCCCGCCTGAGACTTCCGTGCAATTTACGTGGGGACGGCGCTCCCGCCTGAGATTTCTTCTAATTTTACTCAGGACCCCTGCTCCTGCGTGACATTTCCGCGCAATTGACTCAGGAACGGCGCTCCCGCTTGAGACTTCCTCGCAATTTAGTGAGGACCCCCGCTCCCGCCTGAGACTTCCGTGCAATTTGCTCAGGAACGGCGCTCCCGCTTGAGACTTCCTCGCAACTTAGTCAGGGCCCCCGCTTCCGCCTGAGATTTCGTCACAATGTACTCAGGACTGCGCTCTCGCGTGCGACGTCCTCGCAAATTATTCTGGAATTGCGTTTCGGCGCTCAGGAACCACGCACGCGCCAAGGCCGCTTTCACAACGTGGTATCATCCCTCTTCCTTCGTCCTTCCCCCCCCTTCCTCCAACTCTCCCTCGTTCTTCCCTTCCTCCTCTTGCAGGGCCCGCGCCAATTCCAATGGCGGGCGAAGGGATGTACGCCCCCGAAGGATTGTCCGCCCGTTCCGGTTTGCCCGTGCGTCTAAGTCCGCCGGCCCCAGCAAAGAGAAATAATCCCCCCGGAAGGGGTGTGATCGAAAACGAAGAGGGCGGGCATCGAGGGTGTAGGGCATACGTGTTGAATGACTCGCGGGCAAGTAAGAGCGTACAGCCTTAAAATGGTTGTTGTTGTTGTTGTTGTTGTTGTTGTTGTTTTTGTTGAACATTATTTATTCTAAAGAATAATTATTGTTGGGCCCCCTGGTGCGCGCCCCCCCTGCGCCGCCTAGGCCGCAGCTACATTTTCATCATTTTCGTGAGGAAGCCTCAGAAAAGAGGGTGTGTACAGGATCCGGTTGTTTTGTTGTAATCCGCTTTCCCTTGCAAAAAACAATAGAAAATGACATTTCTTGTTCTAATATAATCAAATTTCAAGAATCCCTTGCAAAAAATAAGGTAAAGTGGACATTCGCGCGCGCAAGACGAAATCCTTCCAAAACCTTAGTGTTCGCAGCGATTTTAACATAAAAACATCAAAACACCAATGGTTTTTCAACAAAAAATTGTCAAAATCTCATCCCGCGCGCTCTTGCGGATTCGTAGGAAACCCAACACTTTTTAAACATTTCTGTCAAACGGGCTTTTGCGAGCAACTTTTTCGAACTTCTGCGACAACGGTTGCGCACCTGCCAGGGCCATCATCCCTGTCAAATAATACCATGCGGGACACATTCGTTTTTTCTTCGCGCGCGCACGCCGTCGTCGTCGGCCGCGGGGCCCTGAATAGTAGCCACGGTCGTCCGCATGCCACGAAGTGAAGTGTCCGAACGTCATAGGGCGGGAAGCTGGGTGTGGGTGGTGGCGAAGAGTCGTTTGGAAATTTGGTAGAGCTTGAACCGGCCCCCCCACAAAGTGGGGGTATTGCCCGCCTCCTATGAAAACCCTGGCACTGGTGAGAACGGAGTGTCCCCACGTGCTAGTAATTGTTGTTTTTGTTGTTGTTGTTGTTGTTGCTGTTGTTGTTGTTGTAGTAGCAATCTGGGCGTTTTTCCTCCATGTCGGCCTCTAGGGCCGAGTATCGAGCCGTGGGGCAATCTAACATGGATCCTGTGCGGCGGAACTTCCCCCTGTGGGGCCGAGGACTCAGAAAACCACATCGTCGGATGGCCAGAGAGGAGGAATGAGGAGGTTGCACATCAGATTTTCGGAGGTCTTCGTTGGTTTTCTGCCCCCAGATGCGTTCCAGCAGCCGCAAAGTCTGGCCGATTCCGGAGGGTGGTTCGACGCGTCTCGACGCGTCTTGGAGTTGTGACCCAGAAGCCAGACGACGAGGAGTCAGGAAGGCCCAGGATGAGGATCGATCGGAGTGTTCCGGAACGCTCTCAGAGCGTTCCGACGCGCTCTGGAACGGCCGCCACGCCCAATGCATCCTCCAGGCCCACCAGCTCTCAGCGATTCCCGATTTACTTTCATCCGAACGTATCGGGTTGACTCACGTTGGATTTTCGCGTGCAATACATCTACTTGCAATTCAATGCAAGACAATTCTCCGGCGCAGTTCGTTTGCAATACGATTGCCCCAAATCTATTGCACCACCCCCGTTCAGCTGGACATTATTTTGGGTCACCCAAAATGTTTCCTCATCCTGCTCTCGTCTGAATGCGGGTCGTTGCTGTGTCTCTGGGCCCTTCTCGGTCGCTTGCGGCCTGTCCGTTTTGGCCGGTTCTGGTTTCGCTGTCGGTTCGGTCGTTTCTCGGATGTGCTGTCACCGTTGACGTCTTTGGAGCAGGAGGAGGAGGAATGAGGAGGAATGAGGATGAATCAAGAGGATCGAGGGTCGAGGTTCGAGATTATTTGGTGTTCGGGCGCTCTTCACCCTTCCTGGGCCTCCTCGGAGGCTCCCGCGACCACGGCTGGAAGCAGCTCGAAGAGATGGCCAGGGTGGATCCCAGAAGGGGTCCTAGGCAGCACGCCCTGCAACGACACGAACAGGCACTTTCTACGTGCCCGCGTGGACCTCCTGATACCTGCGTTTGTTTTGTTTAGCTGTTGCCTTTTTGCACAAGATCCTAAGGCGGGATTCTCGTTATTCGTGTGACCCCCCGCGTCTCTCGCTCACCCGCCTCCTTCGCACACTCAAATTGAACTCAGCTTAGTCACAGGAAGGCCAATTCATACCCAGCTCTGTCATACTCAGACCCACCCACAAACGGACTCACTCACTCTCACGCTCTGGCTCACTCATTCTAATTCTCATTCACACTTAGGCCCGCTCAACTCACACTAAGGCCGTTCACACTCAGATCCATTCATCCTTTCATCCGTAGTCCTGATTCCTGTCTTGTATTTATCGTCCCACTCTGCAGCAACACCAGCCAATAGGGGCCAGGTCCAGGACCTGTCAAGCAACAATGCAACATCTTTATTTGTCGTCCCTGCGTGGACATGATGTCGTCCATGTTTCAAAAACATTCCGCGCGGAAGGCCGAAATGTCGCGCTCGTCCCAGGCGGTGTTGGATTTTCCTGTGCGCGTCCAGATGTCGGGGACGTCTCGACCGCGTCTCTCGTTTGGCGTACCCGACTCCATTCTGTTGAGGGCCGCATGATCACCGATATTTAGCAGGCGTAACGTGTGAGCACCCCAAAGATGAGCCGCAGGGGGGTGTCGCATGTTCCCGTTCGCGCCACCATTGCGGGGATATCTCGAGCGTTTCGCTCCTTTTGCGCCGCGGGCTTCTCTGCTGAGAGCCTCATGGTCACCGCGATAGAACAGGCCTAGCACTTGGGCGCCCCCAAGGAGGAGCCGCCAAGGGACGTTGCATTTCGCGTTCGCGCCCAAGTCGTGGGGATGTCTCGAGCGTTTCGCTCGTTTGACACCCCTGTCGTTTGAGAGCTTGGGCGCTCCAAGGAGGAGCCGCCGGGGGGTGGTGCATGTCCTGGATTGTGGGGATGTCTCGAGTGAAGCACTGGTTTGGGTAAACCCGATTCCTGTCTTCGAGAGCTCCATGATCACCGCGATGTAGCAGGCGTTTGGGCACACCAAGGAGTGGCCGCCAGGGGGTGTTACACTTGCCTGTTCGCGGCCAGATGTTGGAAGAAGTCTAAAGCGAAGCGTTGGTTTTGGCGCCCCCGACCCCTCCCCTTTCAGAGTCTCAAGATCATCCCGATGTAGCAGGCGTAGCCTTTGGGCACCCCAGGGGGGAGCCACCACGGAGGTCTCAGTCAATACAGACTAACGCTGTTAGTCGGAAGCTCACATCGGGAAGTGCCAGGACATGGGAGTGCCAATAATTGTTGTCTTTCGGTCTCTCCGAGGACCCCACCAATGCAATGAATCCAGGTGTCGGCGGCCTCTCGTATAACAAGCACTACGCGAGCACCCCCTGCCACCTCTGCTGCGAGCACCCGCGGGCGCCGTGACAAGGCGCGGAGGGTCCCCGGCGAGCGCGTGGGGTGCGGGCGGGTGCAGCGGTGTGACCGCGGGGGGGGGCCCAGGCTGCCTCCCCCCACTCGAGCATGACCCCAGCGCCTGCGTTCAAGAGTGAACACCGGCGGCGGCCTGGAACTTGCCGACATCGAACGGTCGCGATCGCTCAAAGTTGAACGGTCCACGCGGCGCCAGAAGCTCAGGCCGAAGTCGTCACGACGCGAGCCTGCCGTAAGTATCTGCTTGTGTTCGGTATCTGGGAAATTCTCATCGGGCTCCACGACCCTCGAAAAACTGCTCAGGATGAAAATCACCCACCAAACCACCCCAACCCAACCCGAAGGCCGCAGTTTGCCCTCCACTCCAAGTGGGGGGGGACGACGAGGAACACTGCAAAAACACATTCGGAGCCCGCCCCCCCTCCAACCCGAAATTTGGGTCTTCGGGTTGGGTTGGGGTGGTTTGGTAGGTAGTCAGAAGAGCCCGCCCTGGAGTGAGGGGTTCCAGGGGTCCCCGTGAAGACATCGGATGTCTGGGGAGGCGGCGTGGGACCAGGGTTCCGCGACCATCTGCGAGCGAAGTCTGCGCCCTGCGGGCCCAAACGACGCCAGGGTACCGGGCACTCTTGTATTGGTTCACTTGTCTGCAGGGGTCCTTTCAGATTCTGAGCCCCGCCGTTATTTCGCAACTCTGCCATGCATGCGGAAGGGTTCTCATGTGGTTGCCTACGGGTGGACCCAGGTGTTCCAGGGAGGCCCAGCGACCTCCAGAGCACCCCTCGCAAGTCCCAGAGGGCCTCGGGGGATCCAAGAAAGAAGGGGGCATCTGATCAGACCAGGAGCGCTTCTGGCCCTTCCCGTCGCCTCCGCGACGTCTTGCACACCATGCAGGGTGGAGGTAGTTTGCCCTGATGGTTTCTCCGCTGGCGCGGAGCTCCTCCTGGCGCAATGGGCGTCGCGTCCGACCCCCCTCCAGGGGGGCGTTGGAGCGCATTGCCAGGGCCATGACTTCCCCTAGATCTCAGGGCAGGGCGGAGGCGGGCAACGACCAAGGACTTCCCCTCGATCCTCGGCAAGAGAATTGAAACCAGCATCTGCCAAGCCAGCGCCCTCGGCTAGGCAGGTCCAAAGGAGGAGGTGGAGGAGGAGGAGGAGGAGGAGGAGGAGGATGAAGAGGAGGAGGAGTTGGAGGAGGAGCAGGAGGAGGGGGAGGCGGAGGAGGAGGAGAGGAGGAGGAGGAGGAGGCGGAGGAGGAGGAGGCGGAGGAGGAGGAGGCGGAGGAGGAGGAGGAGGAGGGGGAGGAGGGGGAGGAGGAGGAGGAGGAGGAGGAGAGGAGGAGGAGGAGGAGGAGGAGGAGGAGGAGGAGGAGGAGGAGGAGGAGGAGGAGGAGGAGGAGGGGGGGGAGGGGGGAGGAGGAGGAGGAGGAGGAGGAGGAGGAGGAGGAGGAGGAGGAGGAGGAGGAGGAGGAGGAGGAGGAGGAGGAGGAGGAGGAGGAGGAGGAGGAGGAGGAGGAGGAGGGGGAGGAGGGAAAACACGGCACATCTCCTCTGGCCCCCCTCGTCCGCCCGCGTGCCTCGGGGGCACGCTGCGCGCACCGCCCCCCTCGTCCTGACCCCCGTCGTCGGCGCACCCGCGGGTGGGTGCGAGGCGCGCAGGCCTCCCACCGGGCTCCGCAGGACCGCGCTGCATCGCCGACGCATCGGCGATGCGGCTCGATGCGGAGCCCGATGCTCGGCTCCGCGCCGACGGCGCCGATGCACCGCCGATTCGGCGCGACCTTCCGACCCCCGCTTGGGGGCCTCCGGGGAGGGGGCCCAGCGCTGGCCGAGAAACAACCTGTGACGTCTGGGTTCCTGTTTTTTGTCTGTTCGTTTTATCTGTCCCCCGCTCACTGGGCCCGAGGCATCGACGCTGCGCGAGCGGTGCCACGAGATGGTGCACAGCAGCGTCGGTGTTGTCGCCGTGACCTTGCCTCCTGCAGAAGTGCGTGCATGGGCAGGACGCTGGGCTCACATGCTCGCGTATGTCTGGCGCGAATGGCGCTGTGGAGCCGAGGAGCCTTGATCGGGCCATTGTATAGTAGGCGCAGCCAGGAACCATCCACCCAGATCTGGGCGTCCCAGGAAGGTCGTGACCGCGAGCTTTTCGACGTTGAACGGCCTCTGGAGGCTCTTCTCCGCCTGGGACCGACAAAAACGAGTCAGGATGAGAAGCTCACCCCCAGAAAGGGGGCGAGATCCTTGGGGGCCCACGCCACGAAGAAAGACGCGGCGGAGGAGAGGGCATGGCAAGGCGGCCCAAAGTGTATGCATGGTTTTGCATGGCGCGTGCACAAGGCATGTCGCCGGTGTGTGTCGTGTTTCAAGACACAGGTGCTCGACGCTGATAGGAAGAACCTGGTGACATTTGTATCGCAGCGAGGCCAGAGTCATGGCATCGGCCGTTGCGTTTGTGGCCTGGTGCGCTTGAGTTATGTCGAAGGCTGCCGTATTTATTGGGTGCGTGTTCCTCACCAGCCGATTTGAAATGGTGGCGTGACCTGGGCTTCTGCTGTCAGGGTGTTGCCACACACAAACTGGTCCCCCATGCTCCCGCCCGCCCTCTTGCTTTCCTTCTGGCCCCGGGAGCCCCCCCCCCAAAACGAATATCGGCTTCCCTGGCATCCTGGGCCCCTCTGCAGAGCGTTCCCTCAGCCTTCTGGGCCCCCTGGGCGCCCCTGTTTCCCCTGTTTCAAGCGGGTCCACAGCGGTCAGGAAGGCTCGCAAGAGTACCAAGCGGCCAGGGACAGCCGCAAGACGCCCCCAGACATCCCCAAGAGCCGCCTCCAAGAGCAATCACATTTGCATATGCATACACGTACACCTATATATCGTATACCTATACAGTATACATACATGTATAACTTATACAAGTGTGTATACATCTGTTAACCCGCGGGTTTTTAAGGTAATTTTTGGATGCTCGATTCTTCGGTCCTCCTGGTGGCCGAGACCGACCAAGAGGATCCGAAAATCGTTTCAAGCGTTTTCAAAACTTCTCACGACAACCCAAGGGTGCCCCGAGACGGCCAAACATGGCCCCAAGGCAGCCCGAAGAGAGCTCCGTGATGGCCACAGGTGGCCCCAACACTCCCCCCAAAGCATTCCAAATTGTGAACCACTCGTTGAGGGAGGCCCAAAGAGTCCCCATGGGCCCCCCAAAGTCGCCCACGGGACATCCGTCAATCCACCAGATCCCCCAAGAACCCCCCGAACAAGCTAGTGGGACACCCAAGGAGAAGCCTTCGCAGCAGAACAGATGAACAAGGAGGGCTGGAAAGGCTTCGCATAGACGTTCGAGAACGAGGAAAAGGAAAGATGCGGAAAGGGAGACGGAAGAACAGGTAGACAACGGCAATAACGAAACTAAGCATGTAGCACTTTTTTGGTTCTCTCTCTCTCAGTCCGCCTGCTTGCGACATCTGGCAGACCAAGATACATGGCGTGAAGCGTCAGTGCAGTCTTGTATACGTATTTGTATGTGTACAGACGCATACACATATTTATGGGTATACAGACATGCTTTACACATATGCTCACGACTATACTCGGATGTATTCATATTGATTGTTGTTTCTAGTTATATTGGAATGTGTAGCTACATTCATTTGTATACGCATACTTTCCAGGCGCTCAAGTTTTTGACCATCGGCGCATAATTTCATAGCTGGCCCCGCGTGGCGCGGAGGACAGATTAGGATGCAAAAGTACCCTGATGCGGAGTCGCGAGCCTTCGTGAGCTCTCTGGGATGGCCGGCCAACGAAGCAAGACCGACAGCGTTGGATAAGGATTCCCAGGGCCACGCCGCGTCAAAGCGAGAACGAAAACAATGAGCATCGCGATGACATCGGCATGGCAACGACGATGACGAAGATGACATTGGCAATCTCAAGTGACCCATGCTGACTGATTGAGCTGTGCGTGAGTCCAAGTTGGAGCATTTCCGGGCCTATTCTTTATGGGGCGGGGTAATTATCACACCGTTTTGTATATATATATAGCAAGAAATATTGATTTTTCTCATAATCTGTTTACGGGGGACGAACCCATTGGATTCGGACCGCCGCCTGGCCAACAAATCTGTCGTTCACTTTATACGGGGGTCGGGGATGTCCAACGTTAGACGTCCTATAGTCAAAACTATAGTGCCCCTGTGTATGGACGTACACTGATCATTCGATTTGTACATAGGCGCCGATATGGATAATGCCATGTATGTTCGCATTCATCTTGTTCGTTCCAGTTAAAATCAATATCACATTCATTTGTACATGCACATCGAAAGATATGTTTGAGTACGTTTGTAGTTTGAGGTCGATTAATTTTTAAGTATAAGTATACAAATGTATATTTACATTCGTACTTCCATTTGCAGTTAAAACTGCGTCTTCCGCATCTCGCATATCCTCCCGCTCCTCTCTCTCGTGCTCCTCCCATTCCTCCTGTCTCGAGGTGGCTCATATCCTTCTAAGGTGACTTGCAACCTTTCTATTTGTAACGCTGCCTTCTACGATTCGTTCAACCGAACTCGTACACTTCACGGACAGGTCGGCGTGGTCACAGCCGACGCGTGACCCGTTTCATGTTTGCTACGAGCTCTGCGTTTGGATTCCATGTTTGTTTCTGCTGGCCGCCAGGAAGATTTCGTGACAGAAGCAGGCAAGAGTTTCCACGTGTGCGTGCTTGTCGGGGCGCAGACCAGGGCATGGTTTGACAACCCCGTTGAGAGGAGGCTGGTTGCTTGCTCGCTTCTGCTTCATACGGTGTGGTTACGACGGTTACGAGGCGCTACAACAAGTTTGCTGGGGTGACCTTGTGCATGTGCGCTTGCATGCGAGAGTCTCAATTGTCCGGCAATGGCTGGTTGGGCCAGAGCTCGCTGGAGGAAGGGTATTGACATTGCAATCTTTGGGATCTGCTTTCCACCTCTTCCGCGAGGGGTGCGAGGTCGCCCGGAATATTTGGCAACATTGTCAAGAATGTCTACGTGGCTGACAAAGGTCTTCGCCGAACTGAACGCTTGCTCGAGAGTGTTACCGGTCGTGTGCATTTATCTGAATGGATACGTGTGTCTAGACTTTATGATACATTGCAGCCTATTGGTGCAACTGTTGTTCTGTCGGAGATTCCGCCGAGAGAAATTCTCAACAACGGGTAAGGGAAACCATGGAGGAGTATGGGATGGTGCTTCCTGGGCTGCGTTAAACCGTTGAGTCTAGTAAAAGTGGGGAAGATGGAGCTGCTAGCCGAATGGGCTATATATTTGGGCTTGCTGTTGTTTTGGGGGTGCAAAAACTGGGTGCCGATTCAATGGCCCCATGCGTAAGCATGAATTAATTCACTCCGTCAAGGTACCCCAGGGACTACATCTACATGCAATCTAATCTTTCTTGGGATCGCACCGCCCCGAGCCAGATTACGGAGGACCGTGTTTGTTTGGAACTTCGAGGCTATGCGTATCCGCGAGGCCCGGAAACATGTCATTGCATATGCAGGTCCAGCTTTGGACAATCGTAAGGAGCCCGAGCTACCGACCTACCTCCAGGCCGTCAAACCCGACGCGTATTTCGTTTGTTTGAATGCCATTTTGAGAGACGCTGCAATGGAAGTTTTTGGCTGCAGCGTTTTTTCTGTTTCTCCTGAGTATGGGCGTCAAACTAGCGAGCGGCTTGCTTCGTTTCGCGAGCGTCTGCGTTTAAGATCGAGTCTTCAGGATGCCAGAAACACAGAGGGGGAACATACTGTTTCCAACCAGCTTTAAACCAGTCGCAGAGCTTGTGCCAAACGAAGGGGGAGGTACAACGCCGAGTGGAGGGCAGAGGTCGTCAATGATTTGGAGGATGCATGGGGGGTGAAGAGTCATCGGGAGGCTCGCTGTCTCTTGCGACTGCTGGCATGTCGTGAAAAAGCGCGCCCGTGGTAGCACCTGCGAAGTGCTGCGCTGTCTGCAAACGATTGGCTGGGATTGTGGACGCCTGAAGGACTTGGAGTGGGACATGGAACTGGATGAACTCATGAAGGCGGGTGAGTGCGCGGTGGTCGGCGGCGAGATTAGTTTGGAGCCTACAGTGATCAAGCACTGACTGACGTGATGGGCATAGGGAAATATCTGCGGAGGGGGCCGAAGCGACGTCCGTGCGCGCCCTGGTCTCTTCCCCGAGAAATCTTTGGAAATGTGATGGATCCTGGACCCGGCCGAGCACCTGATCGTCTAGGTGTGAGCGCGGAACGAGAATTTCATGCCGACGTTTTGTATACCGCTCTCGAAGAGGGCATGCAGTCTGCGGGCCGATTTCCTCGACTTTGGAATTGCGGCCGGCCATAGTTTGCTTCGCCAAAACCGACGGTGCCATGGTTGTGCTTGGCGCGCATCTTCTGGGCCCGCTTGGGGAGGTCTGGCCTGCGGGGGTCATCGTTAAAAAAAGCCCGCGCCCGTGAGGCAGTGCGACAAACCTGGCTGTAGCGAGGGGGTCGGAAGGATGTGGCCATAGCTGTTCCAGCTATGCTTCGCAGACTCAAACACGGAGGGCGCTGAACAGTTTTGTCAGCGTCCTGGGAGGCATCGGAACAGGTTAACGGACAGCTGCTAGAGCTCCAGAGCCTTGGTTTTGGGCGTGATAGCACGGGGGTTGATTGTGCAATTCCCAGCTCGTGGTCGGAGGCTCCTGGCGAAGACCAGGTGCGTGGCTCTCAGTGGGGATCCTTCTGCGTGCGGAAGCGTTGACCGTGCTTGCGCTGGTCCAGTTGACGGTTGGAGTGGGCATCTCCTTGATCCCGTGTACTCGGAGAATCAGCTGGTAGCTGGGTTTCCAGTGGCGCATCAGCTCATGAACGTGCGCGTAGCGGGGCTGATCGCCGTCATCTGCACCGCTGGCGCTGGCTCCGTGGCTGCCGGCCGCATGCTGCGAAAGAACGGGGCGCCTTGTTTTCGGATGGCCTTCGCCCTGCCATGCAGTTCGGGATCGTTGGCGCCTGAGGTCAGACAGAGATTCGTTTCTATTAAGTCGTCGTTCCATGGTCTGGGAAAAAGTTCTAGTCTACTCCTGCCCCTTCCGGTTGAAACGCTCGTGTCTTCTGGATTTCCAGTTTTTTTTTTTTGGGGGGGGGCTTGTTTTCTTCTGTTCGTTTTTTCTTGCTGAAGGCCGGCGCGGCAAGGTGGACTCCGCTGACGCTCGCTATTGTCGCGTGGCCATGCGCGGCGCGAGTGGCGAGGGTGGGTGCCGCATGCGGGGCTTTTCTATTTAGCAGGGGTTTGCGCGTTAGCGCGCGGCCCCAACTGTTCTCGAGCTCGGGGTCGGACTGGGCCAGCTTGTGCCAAGTGGTCGGCTTCCTCGGAGGAGCTCGCAACTTTCGGCTGGGGTTTTCGGTGCGCTGCCAACGAATGACAGGCCTCAGTTTGGCAGCGTGGGCCGTCTGACCGCCGGTGCAAATCCGTGGGCGCTGCTGTTTCAATCGGATCTCGTGGCCTTGCGTTCTCCAGGAGCTGGGGGAACTTTTCTCGCTCGATTGCTGGGCTCCTTGCTCGCTCTCTGGTGGGGTCGGAATATCGGGCGGGATTTCTGTGTGATCGACCATGTTCGACCGCGACGTCGACGACGTGCCGCTTCGATCTCCCCGCCTGAGTGCGATTCTCCGTTTGGTGAGGTCCTGGAACGGGAGGGCGAGGCATGAGGAGAGGCGCGTTGGATGCGCGGTGTTTGGATGGGGGAGTAGGAGGGCGACGGCGAGGCGCTGGCGGGGGGGGGGTGATGCGACGCGAAGTTTGGGGACGAGAAGTCGTTTTTCGACCGTCTAGAGTTTCGCCATCACTGTCGTTCCTTGGGCCATATTTTACGCCGTGCGCATCAGTTTCTGCATTGTTTGGGGTTCTTCCAGGGAGGTCGCCGCGGCCCGGCGCCCGGTGGGATCGATGGTTCGCGGGCGTCGTTATGAAGGTGGGGGTTCGCTCGCGAGGGCCGCTGAAAGAAACGCGTGGCCTTCTCCGTCAAGTCTGCGGGTTTCCCGCGCCCGCGCCCCCTGGTGATCGACGGCGTGTCTGTCGTGACTTGCCTCGATGTTCGGGGGTGTGAGATAAGGGGCGGGGCGTCTACTCGGGCGAGGTCGCAGCGGCAGATGCCCCTGTCCACGCCAGCCTCGATGTCTCAGCGGTCGGGGGAAGGGGCGCCCGCGCCCGAGGTCGCCTGTGGGGGCGGCGCCGAGGTCGGCGGCGCCGACGCAGCAGCCGCGGTGGGCAGCGATGCGCAATCGCCAAGTAGGAGCGCGCCGCGGTGCTGGCCAAGATCGCTCTCGACGGCGAGGCGGAGCTCGAGGCGCGCATCGCCGCGATTTGCGAGGCGCACGCGGCTCATCTTGGCGCGGTCGTGGCCCCGCGCGCGCCAGGGGAGGGGGCCGCCGCCCGCGCAGAGCCGGCCGCCGATCTGAAGAGCGAGAAGTCCGACCAGGTCATGACGTTCGCCCCTTTTCTCGCGGTCTTCGCGGCGATGGTGAGGGGCACATTGCGCGAGGGCCAGGTCCGCGAGATGGGGGCCGCGTTTTTCCAAGGTGAAGACCGACGAGAAAACCCAGTCCTCGTTGGAGACGCAGGAGGAGTGGCCCCGGCTTCCGCGAGGCCATCGTTCGGGTGGCTCGGGGGCTGTTCGATCAGGCGAAGTAGGAAGACGAACCAGAGGGCGAGGTCGTACTTCCGACATGGGTGGGAAGAGCTCTGGACGTATTTCCACCGTCGGCGGGACGGCGTCGCAGTGCTTCCAATGTGGGTGGGGCAAGCCGCGGCGGTATGTCCCGCGTGGGTGGGTTCGATTGGAGCGGGGGCGCTCGGGATCGGGCTCTCCTGAGGTCTGGCCTCCTGTGCGAGGCTGCTGCGCGCCGTGTCTCCGGTCAGGCAGATGCCCTCCCCCTGTGTCCACCGTCCTGTCGCGATCTCTCCTCCATCTGGCCTTGAGCCTCCTCTCTCTGCTGCTGCTGCCGCCGCTCCATCTACATCGGATTTAATTTTCCTTCGCCCCCCGAAGATGGGCCAGCCATCGCACTCCCCCGCCCCCAGCCGCCTCGGAAAGGGGTCGGCGGCAGCGCCGTCCAGGCAGGACGTGGGTCCCGGAAGCGGCGCCGACGGCGTCAGCCGCAAGGCTGCGCGCCTGCCTGGGCTTGTCGCCTGGCGCACACCAGCCCCGCGAAGGCGCTGGCTAGCCCTCTGGGCGCTCTCGACGCGTCCTCTCGGCGGAGTGCCCAGGCGCTGCTCTCTTCGCGCCGTATGCTCGCTCGTTTGCATCGTGGCATCGTGCTGCAGACCGAGTGGTAAGTGAATGGCGCCTCACGGTCATGCTCCTCTTGTCCTCCTCTTCCTCAGGCCTCAGAAGGAGAATGTGGAGGACGAGGAGGAGGAGGACGAAAAAGGAGGAGGAGGAGGACGAAGAGGAGGAGGAACAGGGGGATGAGGAGGAGGAAAGCGAGGAAACAACGAGCACCGCGCGACCCTGGCACGAGATCGCGAAACGCAAGTTCGGTCTCTCCGGGCGGATGAGGTTGATTGTGCGTTTCCGCTCGCCGCGGAGCGTTGCGACAGCTCCCTGTGCATCGCCGAAACATGCTGCAGTGGGTGCATGGCCTGGTCGCGTGCGCGCGGAACTCGCGTGGAGTCGTACAGCCAGTGGATGATTTGTTATTCGCCAGTGGGAAGTCACGGCCAGACCGCGGCGACAGCGATGGTGGCGGCGACGGCCTCGAAACCCGCAGCGGCAACGACTGGGACAGCGGCGCGGGCGACGGCGGCGAACTCGGCGACGACGACGGCGCTGGCGTCGACGAAACGGGCCCAGTGGTGGGGGTGCAGACGCATGAAAAAAAACGGAGGCGGTGGCGCGGGTCTTCGCGTTGCTCGCATCAGTCGTCCTCGTCGGGCCGCCGGAAAACCCGAGGCCACACGCCTTGGAAACCTCAGGACAGATGGGCGAGCGGGTACGAGCAGAAGGGGCGAGGGAGGAGGAGGAGGAAGAGGAGGAGGAGGAGGAGGAGGAGGAGGAGGAGGAGGAGGAGGAGGAGGACTATCCTCCTTCTCCCCCTCCTAATCATGCTCTCCTCCCTCGCCTCAGAGCTCCCCCTCCGCCAGCTCGCCGGCCGCCTCCACCTGCCTGCCCTCCTGTGCCTCCTCCTCCCCCGCCTCTGCCTGCCCGGGCAGGCCCCTGGAAAAAACCCGCTCCGAAGAGGCCCCCAGGGCGGCCCGAGAAGGCCCCATGCAGGGGGCCCCACGATGGGCCCCCTAGAGGGGGAACTCGAACTGACCTTGGGGCCCGCGCCCCAGGATGACCCGCGAGACCGCCAGGGAGCCCTCTTGGCCCGCCGTGGGGGCCCTCTTCGGCTCCGGGGGCGCTCGGGCGGACTCCCTCCCCGCGGATGGGCGGTCCCTGGGACCGGCCGCCCGCGCCTGCTCCCTGGCGGCCCTGGGGTGCGCTGGTGGGGCCTCTCGGGGATCGGATCGACGCTCGATCCGATCCCCGATCGACGCTCGGAGCGGGCACGAGCAGAAGGGGCGAGGGAGGAGGAGGGAAGAAGGAGGAGGAGGAGGAGGAGGAGGAGGAGGAGGAGGAGGAGGAGGAGGAGGGGCCTCTCGGGGGGCCGAACGGAATCCCCCCCCGGGTGTGGCCGAGGCCGGCCCCCCGTGGCGGCTGCGGCGCGCAGGCGAGGCCACCTCGGGGGGAGGGGCGCCCCCAGGGGCGACCGGCGGCGCGCCGCGCCGTCCGGGGACTCTGTTGCACCGAGCGGCCGCTGCGATTCCCTCGGAAGCCGCTCGCGCGCGGCCCGCGTGCCTGCCCAGCGACAGAAGGCCTCGTAAAACAGGGCTAGGATCGGGTTAAACAGGGCTAGGATCGTAAAACAGAGCGCTCTCAGAGCGTTCCGGAACGCTCTGGAGCGGCCGCGGCGCCCAACACATCCTCCAAACCCGCCGATTCTCAGAGATTTCGAGTTATCCCGATCCGATTTTGTCCCGATCTTCGCGGCGTTTCACCTCGATTCCTGCCGTGCGGGGTCCCCCCAAAAATCCCGACCTTCTGCCCGGGGCCAGCGTTTCATCCTCCTCAGTCCCGGGTAGCTCTTCGACGGTCCTGAGGCCTGGCGAGGGCTCCCTGAGGCCGAGGTTTGTTCAACAGCTTCTGTCGTGGTTTGACCTAGATTGATTGGAGGGGGGATCTGCGTGTTTCAAGACGGAAAAATCGGCACAGACACAGCTAATCGCTGGTGCCCAGGAGAATATGGGAAACTGCGGGAGATGGTGGGGCAGTCGAGGATCCACAAGATATGGGAAAATATTGAGAATCCTGGGCTTTGTACCTACTTATGTGTGTGTGTGTGTATGTCCCTGGGTTCCTTTAGTGTTCAGGATTTCCAGGCGAGCCCGGCCGCGGCGAGCGGAGGCCACTGTCCGAGAGGGCCCCTGCAGCGAGGCCTGCGAGAGCGCCACGTCGCCGCCTCCGCCCATGCCCGGAGCGCCGCCGCGTCTGGCCGCTTAGCTCGACGCCGTCTGTGGACGCCGCCAGTCCCCCACCTCTTCTGGTTGCGAAGACCAGATTCGTTTTTTTTGTTGTTTGCCATTTTCTGTTTCTGGGGGTCCTTGCCAGGCCCCAGGACGGTAAGAAAACGATTCAGGATGCAAAGTGTGTCCCAGGGAAAAGTCTAGAAGCTGCGCCTGTTAGAGAAGCGCTGGCTGAAAGCTCGGAACAGGGGGGTCCGAAATAACGTATGAACACACATGCCATAAACTAAGTAAATGGGCTTCCTCGGCAGTGCCATTTTTCTCTGTTGCAGCAGGAAGAGGAGGAGACGGGGGAGGAGGAGGGATGCCCAGGAGGAGGAAGAGGTGGATGAGGAGGAGCAGGAGGTGGTGGAGGAGGAGGAGGAGGAGCAGGAGGTGGAGGAGGAGGAGGAGGAGGAGGAGGAGGAGGAGCTGCTGCAGCGCCGCTGCGCGAGCCAACGGGTCCCGTGGGCCCCCAAGCCAGCGCAACGTGAGGAGACAGCGTGGCCGTTCGGTCCGTCGAGGGTACCCCGGCGCACGGCAGCTCCCACTTGCCAGGCGGGTCGGTACAACCCCGCCTTCAGCGGCCACCACATCCAGGGCAAGCTCTCGACGTCGCAGATGTACGGCAGCGGCGACACGTTCTCGCAGGAGCGGAGGGGAAGGAGGGGGGCGGAGGTGGAGGATGAGGAGGATGAGGAGGAGGATGAGGAGGATGAGGAGGATGAGGAGGAGGAGGAGGAGGAGCTGGAGGATTAGGTGGAGGGAGTGGGAGGAATTTGGGGCAGGACGCGGAGGCAGGAAGCGTGTCGAGGACGCCTACGGCGAACCACGCCGCCCCCCCTTTTTTCAAATTAAAGACCGATGTGGCCAAACGTTGGCCACAGTCTGGCCAAGCTATCAGACCATGTGTTCCCTCAGCCGTTGTGGAATCCCTTGGGGGGAACACCCGAGAGAAACAGATCAAGGAGGATGAGCGGGAGGAGGAGGATCAGGAGGAGGAGGAGGATCAGGAGCAGGAGGAGGAGGAGGGAGGAGAAGGAAGCGAAGGCAGGAAACCGGGCAGAACACGGAGGAGAAGGAAGTTTGGGCAGAACACGGAGGCAGGAAGAGTATCGAGGACGCTTACGGCAAACCAACGCAGTCCATGCCTACCGATGTGGCCAAACGTTTGGCCACAGTCTGGCCAAGCTATCAGACCATGTGTTCCCTCAGCCGTTGTGGAACCCATTGGGGGGAACACCTGGGGGAG